TTATTTTAAAAAATACACTGTTTAGGTTTCAAGATGTTTTATTCAACTTTTAATACTTACAATGTTCATAAAATTTATTATAAAAAACACCGATGTCACACTTAAAATATTGTAATTTTCTTAAATATATTTGTCACTGACGTACAGTAGTAGGTAGTGCTAGGGTCACAATTTGAATGACACAACTACCTCCACTTTCTTTGTGACACGTTTAATGCAACCTTAAACCAAATATGTAGATATTTATAGTGATCACATACAATACGATCAATTAAAAATTAGGTTTATCACTTACTCCACTATTTTGCAATATGCTTTTATATTTATAATGTTTTATTCAACACGAAAAAAGTTTTACTTTTTTTTCACAACCACAAAACGCGTGCACTCACACACACTGACGACATGATTCTGAGTCTGGATTGCGACTAGTGCGACTGCCCGAACAAAAGCCGTTAAAACACCTGCGCATACATGTACGTGATTGGCGCTCATTATTTGCTTCATCTTCGTGGCAATCAACGATCATGCGTATAGTGAGGGAACAGGGGCGTATCAAAATTATTCTCGTAATAAAAAAATAATAAAACTAGATTTAGTTTAACCAGTGTTATCTATAATTAAGCTTTTACTATGTAGATGCTTATATGTATATAGGTAGAGTTCAAAATTTTGTTATAACTATTGTTTATTCAAAATTACGAGCCTGCGGCAAGTGATCATTTTCAGTACACACACGGGTATTTTTTGTTGTTGTTTTCAACTGGAACTGTTTCTTTCTTCGGCCTGGACGGCCTGACATACAGGGTGTTTCGGAAAAGGTGTTACAAACTTCAAGGGCAGATAGTATTCATGAAAAATAATTCGAAAAGTTCCCATGGATCTAGATCCGGAAACGCTTTGTTTCCAAAATACAGGGTGATACGTTTTTCAAAAAAAAAAAATAGTTTTTCATTAATAGCCCGAAAGAGCTTTAGCCGATTTCAATGAAAGTTTTACGGTTTATTTCAACCATTATCAGACATCTACTGGGCCAATAAGATTTGATCCAGAATTCCCAGGGGCGTACCCCTCGACCAAGTCGGTTGTTTTTGTGCAGAAAAAATATCACTCTGTAGTTTTTGTATGATTTTTATTGATTATTCAAATAGACACACTAAAAATACAACATTTTTGTCTCTCAAATTTTTCAATTATCTCGCTTCGTTTTCGCGGAAAAATTACAATACCATACCTCGGCACGTCTCTGGACTCCATAAGGAAAGATAAAAATACATCGGAATTAAGGTACATCACCCATTCATTGAGTGACAAGGACATAAATTCCATTTGAGGTTTTTTTTTTTGTTTTCATAAATCAACAAACTCCGATAAATTTTTAATCAATTCCTAAGCATTCCTAAGTGTTTTTTCTTATGGAGTTCAGACATGCCGAGGTATGGTATTGTTATTTTTCCGCAAAAACGAAGCGAGATAATTGAAAAATTTGAGAGACAAAAATGTTGCAGTGGCGGCTTGTGACAATCCAAACTGGTGAGGCCCATGGCCCATCAAGTTAACCCAAACAAACCCAAACAAAATTTTCAAGTGTTACGCCCAAATTTTGACCCAAAATTTCATTAAAAGAACATCTCGGATATTTTTTTTTGTATATTTATAATGAAAATTTTCATTTCTTACAGTTGCAAAACAGCAGCAGTAGGTACATACCTAATTCTTATTTTAATACAAATAGGTATTGAGTTTCAAATTAACAAAATAAATTCCAAAAAACAGTTTTTTAACCCGCAACAGACCAAAATAAAAAGTATGAGCCAAATTAACCAATTAAATACTTGTCGCAGCAGCAAGAGATGCAAGGTTTCTTATTAACAAGCCCAAAATTGTGCGCCTCAATGCCTATGAAAATTCGCTATCGTCTCACCTACAGTTGAAGGGTTGTGGTGGGGAGTGCCGTGGCATCGCTTCGGCGTTCTGTGACGCACATGAGGCCAACATTTTTGGGATTGCTATTTTATTTTAATGCTGTCCGGCAACGATTTGAGCGCCTATAAGGATAAATAGGTATAGAAGCGCGCGCTAAATTCAAGAAATAGTATTATATTTTAATGAAAATTCGATGTTTTGATTCTTCCAATGATTGAAAATAGTTAAAAAACGTTAAATATTTATTGAATATTATTTGAAAATTTTACATCATTATTGTAATTTTTACATGTGAGGCCCGGCCTCAGTTGCTTTATACGACGAGCCGCCACTGAAATGTTGTATTTTTAGTGTGTCTATCTGAATCTGAAAATCGCAAAAAAACAACCGACTTGGTCGCTGGGTACTCCCCTGGGAATTCTGGATCAAATCTCATTTAATAGAAAACTATTTTTTTTTTGAAAAACGTATCACCCTGTATCTTGGAAACAAAGCGTTTCCGGACCTATATCCATAGGAACTGTTTCAATTATTTTGATGAATACTATCTGCCCTTGAAGTTTGTAACACCCTTCCTGAAACACCCTGTAGATCTGTTTCACCTCTTTGCCATCTCCTCCACCCCACCGTCAAACGTCAAATTCGAAAAAGAAGCTCTTTCCTCATTTTTCCTGTGGATAACTATTTTTGCTTGTATTTTTGGGTACATTTTTTGAACAAAATACTACTTTTATTTGCTAAGTTACCCATAAGTTATTCAGAAATAACACCAACACCGTTAAAATCGGATCAAAACGCGTGAGCCTATATTTTCTCTAAGTTATCTAAAGAAAAGCCGCCATCTTGGATCCTACGGGTCTTACCACACTGTGCTGCGGGTGAAATCGCTTAAAATCAATGTGAAAACATCTCCACAAAATTTCATGCTTTTATCACAATTTGCAGAATATGACCCTTTTTTTCAAATACCCTGTGCAGCTATTGGGTAATGCAACGAATTTACCAAAGCTGAAAATCGTTATACATATTATATATAACATATAAATAACAGTAGTGTTAGTCAGTCAGTTGAATAGCGGGACCTTGCTGGTCAGTCAGCCCCAATAAATGTAAAAATCTGCAAAAAATATTAATATTACTGAACAAACCTATTAATTTGTACTTCAACCTACAATTTTGAATTGTCACTGTCACGCTGTCACTCTAAAAAAAATAGACCTATTATTTTTTTTTACATAAATTGGGGCTGAACTACCTCGAAGGGGCTGAATGACCGGCCCAGTTCCGCTATTCAACTGACTGACAAACATCACTGTTATTTATGTGTTCTATATAATATGTATAGCGATTTTCAGCCTTAGTAAATTCGTTGCATTACCTAAGCTATCTCGACAACTTTAACCAGACACCCTAGGTCCTTGTCCCAAGTTTCGCTTGACTGACCGAGGTATGTTTATGTACGTAAGTACTGTAAACAACTGACCAAAAACTGGCTTTAGTAAATTCAGAGAATTTTTTCGGCGCTGGCTCTCCGGCTATTATAATGCAGAGTGCCTCCAGCTCACATTAGTTTCGAGTATCAGATTAAAATCGACGGACTTTATGTGCATTTACGTTTGACAGGTGATATATTTGAAAAGGTTTTCCATGCTTTTGGTGGATTTACCCTTTTGAGAATCTCCTCTTTGAAGTTTGGCGAGAAGACTCAAAAATAATTTCAAGGGGTGTGCAGAAGGATTTTCAATAAGCTGCCGTGAAATGAAACAGATTCCAAATGTCGAGTAGTCAAGTTTAGCTTGGTGTTAGGTACTGGGTGTCAAGGTATAAAGTACCACTCCTTGTAACTGTTTTATGTACGAGGGGTGGTACTTTATAACTTGACACCCTGTACTAATAATCGCTTATTACTCAGTGGACGAATTTCTTAATGACAATTCAACAAAATTTTAACGCATTTAGCTAGCAAGAGCTGACTGATAGGATATACGGATTAGCACCTTCTCAAAAAGGACCTACTAGTAGGCGCTGAATCGGTGGATGAAACTTACTGGTAGGCGTACGATCGTTGGATAACAAATGACCTACCGGTAGGCGTAGGGTTCACTCCCTATTTATATTCATGTGATGTAAACATATATCATGAAAAAAAAAAAAAAACAAAAAGGATATAATTATCCCAATCCGACTTTTTGAAAATAGAGCTATAAATACTACCCGACAAAACATTCAAATTCTTTTTTAAAGTAGGTATGGCACAAACAACAAAAACATGAAACACAAATTTGACATAAAAATAAATAATTAGGAACTTAATATTTTTGTACCTATCCACTAAACTCACTACATACAATACCAATATCACTATGGGGGCTCTGCCCCCATAGCAAATTCACTACGGGGGCTCAAGCCCCCATTGCCCCCATGGTTCCGGCGCCTATGAGGCCTGATTTGTTCAGATAAACTTGCTGGTAACAATCAGCAAGATAAATTTACCGTTCTAGAATTTTATTGGTCAGCGGATAACTGGCCGACCAATGAAATTACAGATTGCGTTTTTATCCCTGAGATTGCATACCTGACAGCTTATCAGAGGGTGAATAAACCAGCCCTTAGATAGAAAATGCAGACTTACCCAAACTAACACGTTAATTTAGTCCTAAGCTACCATTTTAGTTTTAAAAAAAAGCAAAGTTAATTTAGTTTATAGAGCATGCCGTCCCTTGAGCGCACTTTTGTTTTTAGAGAAAATGCTAACTTACAAGGATTTAAAATAGCACTAAGCGGACAGGTTGTTTTGGGTTACTTTGGATAAGTCTGCATTTTCTGTCTAGAAGGCCTGTTCTCAATTGAACATAAAGAGGTTATGTTATCAATTCATCAATCTAAGTGCAGCTATTCCATACGACAATCACGAACCTTTAAAACATAAGGTGAAGATCCGAAGATCCCTGACTCGCGGATTTATATAAATCATGTTAAAGTTCCACGACTCGCAAACCTTTATAAAATATGTTAAAAGTTCCTCGATTCGCGGACCTTTATCCACTTCATACATAACAACACTATTTCCTCACCTTAAACAAAATACTACCAAATGCGTAGGGTCAGATCGAGTTTTTCTAATCCTATCATTAATGTTTTCCACAGGGTACTCCTTAACCGTGAGAGCCACATTTCTATGTGCAGGTTCTGCACCATCAAAGTAATTTAGTAGCTTTCGAAAAATCCGTTCAGGTATTATTACAGGGTCTCCAATGGAAATGTTTTGTTGTTTAATGGCATTTTTGGGGATAGCAGTTGGTTCAGCTACTGAAAAAAAAAACGTTTAGAATTGCAAAAAATATATATATGTATCAAGGAGTGACCACTTTCAACGTAAGTATTTGGGTTATAAGTACGTTAATCAAAATCAGTTGCTGATAGCAATAGACCCATTGAAATATTTCCATGTTTATAACCGCAAAATTATTGAAATGTTTACCCATAAACGATTATGAATCGTGTTGGTGATTATCTTTGTGATTATACAGATTTTTGATTTCACCAGGTAGGTACTTTATAAGCAAGAAAATGGTCACCTTTTCAATTGGGGCCTCAAAGAATGTATGTTTCGAATCTTACCCTTGTTCTTGTAGTTTTTCTTTTTGTCCACACCCATTTTGCAGTGAGTATAGCAAGTGGCAAGTCAAATAAAAAAAATACAAAGAAGAAAACCGAAAACTTCCAAACATGTAACAATGTTTATTGGCGCCATTCAACTTATCTGTGTCTCAGACTATTGTTTTCATTTGTTTTTATGCACAAGTCGACAAATTGGCTGCATTACATCAGCATCAGCAGAAATAAGGCGATAAGAAAACGGTTAAGAAAAAGGAAAAATAAACTCATGAATCATGAAAATAACAAATATTCCACTACAACAATCGCTACACTGAACTCAATAGTGAATGCCCGGCATTCAATTCAATGCCGGCACGCCAGAATAGAAAATGTGCTTTCTTGACTCTTTGTGCAGTATTGTGCTGTGCACACATAACACAGCTGGCTGAAAATTGGAATGAAAGGGATGGGATGTCCCGAAACTATCGATACTTTCTGAAGCGATACAAGTTCTGTTCCAACGTTCCAACATATCAGAACTGCGTGACTTTTAGGGATAACAAACTATCGATAGGAATATCGATACTATCGATATTTTTTTCATTTTCGATAGTATCGATAGACCTGTACCACTATCGATAGTTCCAAATGGCCGGTTTCTCAATAGCGAGTCACCTCCGAGTTGGTTTTAACTTCAGGGTAAGTGAGCCCAGTTGCAATAATTGTATTCCTTTCACACCTAGGAGGAACTCTGGAATAGCTCCGTAGCGTTATGCGCTTATTCCTTTCAAAAAATGTTGCACCACGTATTTCTTCCTTTCAAATCGGGGTCGACTAACACCGGAGCGAGTAGCTCGAGTGTTCCAAACTCTTGAGGGCCGGTTTCTCAATCAATAGCGAGTAAATATAAAGAAATCTGTAGCTGTTTTGAGAAATCTGTAATTATTTTTTGGGGGTAGACATGCTGTGCTGCCAATTTTTAATTTTTAGGTTAACAGGAATGGCGAACAATGTGACGAGCAATGAACTATAACCAAAAACTGGAATGCTAACACATAAGGACGAACGTGAAGCATAGTGCGGCTGCTGCGGAGGGGATACCTGTTTTTGTCGCACTCATTATGTTAAATGGCGAAAATTGCTTCCTACACGTATTCCAATTGATGAAACCTGTGAAGGGAAATATGACAAAACTTTCGAAAACGTCATATGACAGCGAGCAACAGAAGAAAACAACATTCCCCTTTGTGGCATCTGTCTTTCATGGCTACATTTTTTTGGCAGACATGGCAATGTGTGCGCATTCCAGTTTTTAGCTATAGTTCATTGGTGACGAGTGACTTTCATGGACTTGATAGGGGTTGGAGGTTAATGTTTATTTAAGGTTATAGCCGCATTCTTTCGCGAAATATTTGAATCATGATTCCGAGATCCTGATCCGTTCGTTCAGATGGAACATGTTTCATTTATTAGTCCGAAAAAACGCTGTCACTGATGTGTCACTGCCAGCTGGTGCTATTCTCTATTTTTTGAGTTGGTTATTATTATATTTTGCAGTTTTTTGATTTGCTACGTTTGTTTTTCTGTGCCTATAATAATGGACGAGCTTACAAAATTTATATTATATATTATTGCAGAAAGCGCAAAAAGTAAACAAGAAATAATTTGAAAGTTGAGGTTAGATTTTCGCGATCGGAACAAACTAATCTCAAACAAAAAATGTTCAATATGTACTTTCTCGGATCATGATTCGTTAACTGTCATTTGCCAAAATGCGAAAGAACGTGATCACTGGAACATAACGCGTTTTGATCAACTGATCCGGTCCGAAAGAATGCGGCTTATGTAGTTATTGTTGTCATTTGCTAAATTTATTTCGTAATTATTTAGAAATTTGGTTACTTTGGTCAGGGCAAACTATCGATAGTACAATCGATAGTTACTATCGATAGATAAGCCATTCTATCGATATCACTATCGATAGTTTTTTTTTCGATAATTTGTCAACCCTAGTGACTTTACAGTTTACATGTCTAACGTATCCGTAAACGCAATCTCAACGCAGCAAAACGCAAGCATTTTAAAAATTACATACTTTTCTTCCGTAACGTTTGACGCGTGCGTCGTAATTCTACATCTACAAATACCAATTTTTCAAACTTATTATTAGCGGGCGTTATGATCTATAACGCCTTATAATGCAATGCCCTGAGGTTGTTATAGGTGTAATTAGTTGTATTCCTTTCAAGAGTTTGAAACACTCGAGCTACTCGCTCCGGTGTTTAGTAGCCCCCAATTTGCAGGGACAGATGCGTGGTGCAACAAACACTTTTCGAAAGGAAGAAGCGCGTGAAGCCCAGGAGCTGTTCCGGAGCTCCTCGTTTCCTAACAGATTTTCTAGGTGCAGGTCGAATCGGGTGCAGGTAGTATAGAGGTTTGTTTTTTGTGTTGTTCGGAGCAGCACTTCTTGCTGCGGCGTTCGTTGGTGTTATGGCAATGAACTGACGAACGTTATTATAAGCTGGGTTCGGCTATTCAGCGCGGAGTTGAAGTGGAGTGAACCGAGTTAATGGAGTCACCCCTAATACGGTAAAAAGCAATACCCGAACGGCTGGAGTGCGAATGGAGTCACTCGGAGTGCACGGAGTGAGCAAGCCGAACCCACCTATGGTTTATCTGCCATAATCTGAAATATTAGGATTAGGTGTATTCTTTCCGTTCTGAACAAACTGATTGCTTTCACTTTATCAGATTGCGTTAACTTGTGGGCTTCTTCTTTCGTCTCCGGTCAGTTCCCGCACTCCACCTTCTAAACTGAATAAAATGAAGGAATGCTTGCTGTCCCCTCCCCTCATAGCCCTTACCCACAAGTCAAGCACAACCTCGGATGGCTGATCACATAGTTCATTTAAGGCGATTTTCAGCCTGGAATGATTATTTATCGGTAAATACCGTGGTTATTCTTTTGGTTGACAACTTTGACAGCCAAGTGTGACGTCACAGCCCCCCACCACTCAAGAATCATAACCCAAGGAACTGACCGCTGAAATGATTTGGTTATAGCAGTGAAGGATTATGTTTATTATTCCTATTTGTTTTTTCATTTCAACAATGGTTTGTTGTTTACGTACAAAAAATGGAGCGGAATCTCTCGTTAGTCTTGTTTATCGAACAGATTTTCTTAGGGGATGATCTAAACCTCGATCTAAACATGATGAGTTGCAGTGAGTGAGTGAGTGTATAAGTACTTCTTACATTGTGCCAGGCCACAACACAACTGCAAAATCACAAAACACCAATAATTCCCAAAATAATAAAAATAACATCAAAAAGCTGTAACCAAAAGATTAACCCAAGTCCAAAGCTGGGTTATAATCGGTTATAAGTGGTAAATACCAAAAGCAAATCAGCTGATATGTGACATTACAACTTCCCCTACTTTGGTTAAAACCGCGACGGCGGAAATGCATTGGTTATAACCAAATAATAATCATTCCAGGCTGAAAATCTCCTTTACAAAGATGTAAACAAACGTGTTCTTCTGTAACAACTGAACAAAACTAAAGTGAAACTGAAGTGATTGCTCTGTTCAGATTCATTTAATTTTAATTCAGTTTTACTTGTTCATTTCGTTTAGCAGAACGAAAGAATATTACTCTTACAGCTCAGTTCAAGTTAGTGCGACACAAACAAAGAAACCTCAGGTACAGTTGCGATCAAAAAATCAATCAATCCAAATCAATTGACCTTTTGTTTGGACGCCATATTGCGGTGCGCGAACATAGTTGCCAAAAGTAGAAAAATTAAATTACTAGCGTACTGTCAACATTAAAAACAAAAGTTACTGAATAAATTAGATTTGAATTTGCCGCCTATTACGAATGTTTTTGAAAAGAAAAGCAATTTTAGCTTGTATTGGGCAGATTAGAAATAATAGAATATCTAAGGTTCGTTTCTCGAGAGTTCATACTTTGGTTATCGAACACGTCATAATTTGAAAAAAAAAAGATTGTCGCAGATTAAAGCCTAGTACTCATAACTGCGAAATTCGCTTTTTGTTGACATTGCTTAGACAATTTGACGTTTTATGCATAAATCAAACGTCAAATTGTCGAAGCAATGTCAAAAAATAGCGAATTTCGCGGTTATAGTACTAGGCCGGTACTAGGCTTAATTCATATGACACATTCAATTTTTTTGACAAATTAAAATGAATGACTTCTGGCTTGAGAACCAACGACGGTTTTTGACGCCATTGATTTGTTTCAGTCAATTTCTATTTGTTGAAAAAGGAAGGCAAATTTTGTCAAAAGTATGAACCCTCATAAAACAAAGTTTACCTATTTACTTTCATCAATCAGAAAGAGAAAGTAAACAAACAAAAAGGATAGCGAGGATCAATCATTTAGTTACTTTTGTTTTCAATGTTGACAGCCCGCTAGTTATTTTTGTTTACTTCTTTTGGCAACTATGTTCGCGCACCGCAATATGGCGTCCAAACAAAAGGTCAATTGATTTGGATTTTTGATTGATTTTTTGATCGCAACTTTTTTTGAGCTCCCGTTAAAAACAGTGTTGCCAGTATTATCGTATTATCGAAGCAAGTTGAAGGATTTGTGTACGCGGCGGGCGCGCGGAGCAGAACATCTGTTGTAATCAGCTGATAATAATAAACATAAATTAAATATAAATTAAAATATGTATTTAGTGAATGGTTGTGAACTTTATTAGAGTTTATCTAGAAATATATACTTAATATTAAAGCATAGAGTCCATACAGACATGTAAAATTATTTATAAATGTAAAGTTAATAATACATTTATCTTAAAATACCTATCTCCCTAGATTTGAAATTGTATGGGGTTGTATTATTTATTGATTTCCCAGAATATTAGTTCAATAAACCTAGCAGTCCCATTGTGGAAAAAAACTTCGGGGACTAAATATAATAATTAGGTGCTCCTAAATACTCAAAAAAAAAATTGAATCAGTTACTTAATTATTAATTGAATTACAGATTTTTTTTTCATTATTAGGGAATTGTTGGCTTCACGTTTACTTGATGGTGGTGTGTTAGAGGCTAAAATGTTTCTGGATATAAATTAGGTAGGTACCAGGTACCTACTATTTAAGTGCTTCTAAATAGTCGAAGAAACACTTGAATCGGTTAATTATTAACTTATTTACAGATTTTTTTTTAATTATTAGGAAATTATTGGCTTCACGTTTAGTTGGTGGTGAATCAGAAGCTAAAATGTTTACCTATGGATAGGAATTAGTGCTATTTAAGTGCTTCTGAATTAATATTTGAAGAAAAACTTGAATCAGTTAATTATCAACTGAATTACAGATTTTTTTTAAAATTATTAGGGAATTGCTGGCTTTACATTTCCTTAAGAATGTATTTGCAGCGAATCTTGATGATAACCGTGGCTGAAATGTTGTACCTATTAGAATTTGGTGCTATTTAAGTGCTC